CCCGCCTCAGCCTCCTAAAGTGCTGGGATTACAGGCATGAGCCACTGTGCCCGGCCTACCCTAGTTATTCTTGAATAACTCCAGTTCCAAGTCAATCAAAGAGCTCCGATTGTTCTTCCGCATGTTAAACTCTCCCCTTCTACACCTTTCCTGCTTCTTTGATTCATCTTTGAAAACTCCAGATATTAAAGAACATTCTGATGTCATTTCTTTGATAAAATGTCATCAATTCCTCCCAAACTTCTCTTATCCTTCTAGCCACTCACTTTCGGATCCTGTTGAGTTGTTTACACTGACTCTAAGAAAGGCTCTGTCAGGTTAATAAGTTAGGAGTTATTTTTCTATCCTCTTATACATGAGAAACAGGCAGAATGTGGCAGAGTCAGGCAAGATTCTTGACTAGAGTTATTTCTATTGGACGATAATTTTGTAACCCTTTATTCTTCCCAGAGTTATCCAAGGTAAGGGTATTTATAAAAAAAATACTCAGAATAATTTTTTTACCATTCACTTTCAGTGTTAATTTAATATATGCCAATGTTTTATACATTATGGAGAACAATGTAATTTTAGGCTGGCCAGGAACAAATTCTTTTTATTTTTGTAGTTATAAATATGATTATAATATGTATTAGAAGAAATACGTATCCAGCAACCCCCAAATCCATGGTTCCATACCTATTATTGCTTAGGATGAGGCAAGTTTAAAGTGTGAGTATATTTTAGGTTTATTTAAAGAAAAATATAGTAGAAGTGGTACCTCCAAATCACAAAAGTAATATATAATTGAATGAAAGTTTGCAAGCACTAGTTTTTGTTTTGTTTTTTGTTTTTGTTTTTGAGGAAATGATAATTTTATTGGGATTGATAACCACTTTGGTTATGTAGGGACAATGCACCCATTTTAACAGATGCATATTTAAATATGAAAGGATAAAATGATATGATGTATGAGATTTACTTTTAAACACGTAAGCCAAAACAGACATAAAGCAAGAAAGAAAAATAACAAAATATTGTTAGATAAATCAAGTAGTTGAAATGTTTAAGAAACTAGGTCAGTGGTACTGTGAGATGTCCTATATTCTAGATTTGTCTCTGTTTTTTCCTGGCACTATTTCTTTCTTTCTTTCTTTTTTTTTTTTTTTTTTTTTTTACTATACTTTAAGTTCTGAGATACCTGTGCAGAATGTGCAGGTTTGTTACATAGGTATACACATGCCATGGTGGTTTGCTACACCCATCAACCTGTCATCTACATTAGGTATTTCTCCTAATGCTATCCCTCCCCTAGCCCCCCACCCCTTGACAGGCCCCCGTGTGTGATGTTCCCCTCCCTGTGCCCATATGTTCTCATTGTCTAACTTTCACTTATGAGTGAGAACATGCGGTGTTTGGTTTTTTGTTCCTGTGTTAGTTTGCTCAGAATGATGGTTTCTAGCTTCATCCATGTCCCTGCAAAGGACATGAACTCATTCTTTTTAAGGCTGCATAGTATTCCATAGTATATATGTGCCGTATTTTCTTTATTCAGTCTATCATTGATGGACATTTGTGTTGGTTCCAAGTCTTTGCTTTTGTGAATAGTGTGGCAAAAAAATACGTGTGCATGTGTCTTTATAGTAGAATGATTCATAATCCTTTAGGTATGTACCCAGGAATGGGATTGCCGGGTCAAATGGTATTTCTAGTTCTAGATCCTTGAGAAATCACCACACTGCCTTCCACAATGGTTGCACTAGTTTACCCTCTCACCAACAATGTAAAAGCGTTCCTATGTCTTCACATCCCCTCCAGCGTCTGTTGTTTCCTGACTTTTTAATGATCACCATTGTAACTGGCGTGGGACGGTATCTCATTGTGGTTTTGATTTGCATTTCTCTAGTGACATGTGATGATGAGTTTTTTTTTTATCATATGTTTGTTGACCACATAAATATCTTCTTTTGAAAAGTGTCTGTTCGTATCCTTCACCCACTTTTTGATGGGGTTTTTGTTTTTTTCTTGTAAATTTGTTTAAGTTCCTTGTAGATTCCGGGTATTAGCCCTTTATCAAATGGATAGATTGCAAAAATTTTCTCCCATTCTGTAGGTTGCCTGTTCACTTTGATGGTAGTTTCTTTTGCCATGCAAAAGCTCTTTTGTTTAATTAGATCCCATTTGTCAAGTTTGGCTTTTGTTACCATCGCTTTTGGTGTTTTAGTCATGAAAACTTTGCCCATCGCTATGTCCTGAATGGTATTGCCTAGGTTTTCTTCTAGGGATTTTAGGATTTTAGGTTGTACATTTAAATCTTTAATCCATCTTGAGTTAATTTTTGTATAAGGT